CCAGGGAAATGACACCATCCATCCAGGGCCATCCACCATCCATCTTCCTCATCATCGGTAGATTTGTTTTTCATTTTTTATACTGCTCTAAGACCTTTCTTCCTTCTCCTTTGAAGGCTGAGGGTCATTTAATTTCTCAATGAGGGTCAGTTAACTTCCCCAGGCAACTCTTTAAGACTGTAAGAGCTTAATAGTTTTATATGTATTGAGTGGCCCTATGAAAATAGGAGAGAAGGTACCTGCCTGCACCAGTAGAAGAAGTTTCCTCGCCTGGGAGTTCCCTGTACCAATGAAATCACATGTTCAATCCCTATCCCTGGCCCTGGTCATTGGGTCACCATGATTCCACACAGGAAAAGGGGGGACTGAACATTCTTTCTCTCGTTTTTCTTATATGTGATTTTAATTACAAGTGTTGGGGTTTGGAGATGGTTGGTTTTGATTTTCTTTAAGCAATTTATCGTTTGTGGCAGATTATTTGGGCTGCATGCTTTCTGCCATTCTTCACGACCCTATAGACCAGTGAGCGAGCCCTTCTCACAAGCCTCCCCTAGTGTCAGGTTGGTGAGTTCATTCTTTGACCGTGACACCACCCCAGGCTGCTTGGAGGAAAGCAGCTGTTAGCACAACAGGGAAGGCAGGGCAGCCAGAAAGCAAAGGCAGGAAGGAGGAATTGGGATAATAATAAGAGAAATAATAGCATTTCCAGAGCACTTTTAAGGTTTATAAAACACTGTCTATCTAGACATACACACACATGTAATTTATTTATATATACATAAATATGTGTATATATGTATGTATGTACATGTGTACATATACATACATTTATAAGGCAGGTAGGTGGCACAGTGCCAGGCCTGGAGTCAGGAAGACTCCTCTTCCTGAGTTCAAATCTGGCTTCAGACACTTCCTAGCTGTGTGACCCTGGGCAAGTCACTTAGCCTTGTTTGCCTCAGTTTCCTCCTCTGTAAAATGAGCTGGAGAAGCAAATGGCAAACCACTCCAGTATCTTTGCCAAGAAAACCCCAAATGGAGTCACAGAGAGTCAGACATGACTAAAAATGAATGACCAACAACAAATATGTATATATATATATATATGATTTAATTTTTACCACAACTCTACTAGTACTATCTCCGTTTTACAGATGAAGAAACCAAGACTCAGGGAATTGAAGCAATTTGCCTGGAGGCAGAAAGGGAACCCAGGTCCACTGCTCTCTTCCTTGTACCAAGCTGCCTCTCCATCTCCTCCCATTCACCCATCCCTTAGACAAGAAGTTATACGATTAAAATGGCCAAGCCTGGCCCTAGAAAAGAATGAGAAATGAGAAAATGCACCCAGCCCCTGTTTGGTAAAGGTGGGGACCTATGGGTGGAGAACATTGCATAAACTGTCAGACTGCATCTAGGGTTAGATCTGCTGAACTGATCTCCTTCCCCACCCCACCCTCCCACCTCTGTTTTTTATTTATTTTATTTAAGAGATGGATGGTTTTCTGGGGGGAGAGAAGGAAAGATCATTGGGAAATGAAGATATTTTTTAAAAATCCAAAATGTATCAATATGAATTAAAATCAAAGAAAAATTCTAAAAGAATCTGTTGCAGATGAATTGCTGGTCTGGATTAACAGAGGGAGTTTCTACACCAGGAATTCGAACATGTCTCAGGTCTGGACAACAAAAAGTCTCTACCTTGCTCCACTGACAGGGCTTTTTCAAGAAGAGTGTTCTATTAAGAAGCTAGGGGGGCACTGTAGTCCAGAGTACTGGGCCTCTTGTCAGGAAGTCATGAGTTCAAATCCAGCTTCAGACACTTAGCTCTGTGACCCTGACCAAGTCACTTCACTTCTTTTTACCTCAGTTTCCTCAACTGCAAAATGGGGATAATAACAGCACCAATCTCCCAGCGTTACTATGAAGATAAAATGAGATGATATTTGTAAAAATGCTTTGCAGACCTTAAAGTGCTGCAAAAAGGCCAGCTATGATTTTATAGCCTAGTGCTGTGGGGAAAATGCTGGATTTGGAATCGGAAGACAAGAGTGCGAATTCTTTTTCTGCCACTAGCTCCTGTGTGACTTTGGCGAGTTATCTGAGTTCTGTGTCTGTGAGCCTCAGTTTCCCAATCTGTAAAAGGAAAGAGTTGGAGCTCCTGGCCTCTGAGGGTACCTCAGCTCTCTCTATAGTCACATGCTTCTAAATGGTTATTGAAACAGATGAAATTGAATGCCATGGGGCTGCCTCCTTAGGACACTGGCATTGGTTTATTAGCATTAGAACTCAAAAACAGCAATCAAAGGAAAAAAATCTGGGCTTGTCACTTGCAGCCCTCCTCAGGAGGCAATATGGCGGCCGACATTGAAACATCATGAATAATCATTACAGCGGCTGACATTAACACAGCCCACGTTAAGGCTTGCAAAGTCTTTCCATCTCCTTTGGTTCTCAGAAAAACCCTGTAAGGTCGTAGTGGGGGAGAGGGGAAGAAGCATTTATTAAGCACCTACAGGCACTGGGCTAAGCTCATTACAAATATGATCTCATTTGATCCTCACAATAACCCTGGGAGGTAAGTGCAATTATTATAAGAGTTGAGGAAACTGAGGCAGACAGGTTAAGTGACTTACCCAGGGTCACGCAGCTAGTTAAGTGGCTGAAGCTGGATTTGAATTCAGATCTTCCTGACTCCAGGCTCTGAGCTCTATCCACCATACCGCCTAGCTACCTCATAGTGATAGTCAACTAATTTTTGTCAAGCACCTACTATGTGCCAGGCACTGGGCTGAGTGCTGCGGATACAAAGAATGGAAAAAAAAAACCAGTCTTTGCTCTAAGAGGAGATCATAGTGTAATTCGGAGACAACAGGCATATGGTTAATGCACAAATAAGATTTAGAAGGGATCAATTGGGACTGGTCCCAAAAGGAAGCACTAAGATGGAGGAGGACTGCGTTTTACAAATGGGGAAACTGAGGCTCGGAGGGGAAGTGACTCACCCAGCATCTCACAGCCAGCGGGAGCCCAGATCCCAGTGATCTTTCGGGCCCCGCAGGCCGCCTCTGAAGAAGGCATTGAGGAGCCTCAATGGGGATCCCAGAAGAGGGCAACCACTGCAAATAGCAATCCCCCCGCGCCATCTTGCTCCCTGGCTGGGATTCCCATCAGGTGCCCCCCCAAAATATGTTCCCCCTGAGTTTGTGGGTACTTCCTGCTCTTTTTCTCCCTTGCCCTCTCACTCCGCGTTGAATTTTAAGGAGGCCGGCCTCTAGAGCTCTGCATAGGGAGCTACACTTTAAAAGGAACGATCCTCCATGGCCCACGTAGCCACTCAAGCACTTGGCCATAGTTCTCCTCGGGGCCAGAGGTCTGGGGGGAGGGGGAGGGCATGGAAGGAGGCCGGCCTCAGCTCTTGGTTGGGAATGAGGACTACACAGCCAGCCTGTTTGATCAAACCACCGAGGTTCAGCCCATGGTGAGCAGCTTTCTCCAAGCTCTCACAGCCTCCCCAGATTAGCTGGTATTTATTTAGTATTTGCTTCCTTGGGATAGTAGGGACTGATTCATTCTTTGAATCTGTGTCTTCCGTGCCTAGTACACAGTAGGCATTTAATAAATGCATGATCCATTCTAGGTTAGACCTTCTCCACATCGACCTCCAATTCAGCCTTGTTTTTGGAACTACCATTTTTTTTTAAAGGCAATTGGGGTTAAATGACTTGCCTAGTAAGAGTAAAGTGTTTGGCTGGAGGTCAGATTTGAACTCAGGTCTTCCTGACTTCAGGGGCAGTGCTCTATCCACTGTGCCACCTAGCTGCCCCTGGAACTACCATTCTTTAGTCCCAGGTCTAAGGAGAACAACGTCAATCTCTCTCCCACTTAACAGTCTTAAAGATCCTTAAAGGCCGTTATCCCATAATGCTTCAGGCTTCTCTTCAAGCCTGTACCTAGCATGGGGGAAATGGAGACCTGTTCCACGGGCGTTCGTGTCCAAGGGGAAGGGATGCCTCATCTCCAGGAACATGCGCTTCCTTTCCAAGGGAGCTGCTGTCCCTGCACCTCCCTTCAGGGTCCTCCAGGCTGCCACCCTCAAAGCCTTACCACTTTGTTGTCCTCTCTTAGAGCCCACCCTCACTTCTAGCCTCCATGGGGGTGATGGCTGGACTCCTCTCCAGGTGAGACTGTTGTTTTTGTTGGGTAGTTTCAGTTGTGTCCCACCCCTTGTGGGGTTTTCTTGGCAAAGACACTGGAGTGGTTTGCCATTTCCTTCTCCAGCTCATTTTCCAGATGAGGAAACTGAGGCAAACAGGGTGAAGTGACTTGCCCAGGGTCACACAGCTTAGTAAGTGCCTGAGGCTGGATTTGTACTCAGATCTTCCTGACTCCAGGCCTGGGGCTCTATCCACTATGCCACCTAGCTACCCTAGGTGAGACTGTGCTTGCAGCACTCAGCACAGTGCCTGGCACATAGTAGGCATTTAATAAATGCTTATTGATTGATTCATTAACATCGGCATCTACACTACTGCCATCCCCCTCCTGCCTGTTTTTGCTTCAGCTAAAACATTCTCCTTTCCTCCCACCTGTCCTTGCATGGCATGGGATTGACCACCATCCCTGCCATCTCCTGCTCCTTCTCCAATTTATCAGTGCCCTTCTCAAATGCAGGAGTCCCTAGAGGAGCTCTGACCAGCAGAGGACAGTGGAACGCCATTCTCTTATTGAAACCTAAAATAACATTACCTTTTTTTCTTAGCAGTGACCTGGTGTTGCTGAATCACGACATCATAGATTTAGTGCTGGAAGAGGTCACGTCCAGACTCTTCATTTCCAGGAAACTGAATCACAGAAATGAAGTGACTTGTCCAGGGTCACGCAGCTATGACGTATTGAGTTTGGAGTTACTAAAAGTCCGGATCTTTTACACATGAACCCCTGTACTTGAGCTGTTGATTTCTCGACCCTGAGTAAAGAAGTTTACATTTGTCCCTCTTCAGTTTCGTCTTGTAGGTTTGGCCCACCATTCCAGCCTGATTTGGGATCCTGCTTCTGCCACCCAGCGTGCTCGCTACCCCCGCCAGCCTCGAGTACCCTGAGTCATTGGTAAGCATGCATTCGACGCTTAACTCATGACTTCAGAGCCATTAATGTCACATACAAGAGAGCTAAGGACAGAGCCCAGCGAGAAATCCAGAGAATGTCTGGCTGAGACGCCAATCCAGCCACCACAATGCAGACTCACCCACCGCTCACCTCTGCATCTCAGAAAGTCTATAAGGAGAGACTTTATCCAATGTTTTGCCAAAATATACACAAGCTATCTCTTGCAGAGCTATCTGGTCATGTGGCTGAAAAGAAAGGGAATGAAAGCTGTGATGGTTCTTGGTAGATAGTGACCAGAGGAGGCTTCAGGGAGAGGGGCCTTGAAGCTTGGGGAGGACGTGGAGAGGAGACAGGAGGCTGTCCTAGATGTGAGCAAAGGTTTAGAGGTGGGAATGAGCCAGACGTGTTCTGGGAGCAGTGACTAGACCAGGGCTCTTTTTGGGAAGGAGTAGAAGATAGGAAAAGCAAATCAGACTCAGATTATCGAGGGCCTTGAGTGCCAGATTAAGGAATTTGAAAATTATCTTCAAATAAAGGGAGGCAGTATGGAACAGTAGAAAGGAAGCTGTGTTTGGAGTCAGAGGGCCTGGGTTCAAATGTTAGCATAGATATTGACCGCCTATGTGACACACTTTGCCTCTAACCCTCAGTTTCTTCCTCTGAAAATGAGTGAGTTGGATATGAGGGCCTTGCCTGCCATAGGGACACCTGTAGAACACTTCCTCTGGGGCCAAACCTGTGATTTCATCAGTATGGGAAACTCTACCAACACAAATCAATATGTGCTCTGCAAATTCTAGCCTTGATGCATTTCCTGGGCCACTGAAAAGTTCAGTGACTTGCCCAGAGTTACACATACTGGTAAATGTCAGGGGCAGAACTAGAACCCAGGTCTTTCTGACGTCTAGGACAGCTCTCTACCCATTATACCACACAGCCTTTGAAAGTTGCCGATAACTTTACATCCATGCTCCTACTGGGGCCTCACAACAAAAACTGTGAATTCCATTTTGTACCCATTTTATAAATGAAGAAACTGGACCCCAGAGAGGAAAAGTGGCTTGCTAATGGTGTCTGAGGTGGGATTCAAACCCAGATCTCGCCTGCCGCCTGAGCCAGCACTCTTTCCACTAAGCCAGGAGCTGGGTGTCGTTCCCCTTTGACAGTCAGTCTAGGGAAACCTAGAGGCCCCTTCTCAGAACCAAGTTGTTAAAGGCATAAAATAAAAATACAAAGAAAACCAATTCTACCGAAATACAGTTATCCAAGCATTTTTCAAAACAAGCCGTGGACTCCAGCTCAGGAAGCCCAGCCTTGTGCCTAGCCTTCCCTGGTCTTTCATGCCCACCCTCTGCCCTCCCTTCCTTTCTCCTCCTTCACTCTCTGTGAAAAACCTTCTCAGGAAGAAGAGGGAGATGATTAAAGAAGAGGAAGAGCATTCATGAGAAAAATGCAATCTGGGGAGGCAGGCAGGGCCTGCAGAGCCAGGAGAGAGGGAGCCGATTAAATGGGGGTGGAGACCTAGGAGGAGCCAGGCATCAGCCCCACCAACTTTCCCCAGAGCATCGGCAAAGCTGCCCCTGCTCTCAGAGCTCCCAGACCTGAAACCCGGAGCAGGGAAGAGCCGGGAGAGTGTCAGCTGAGGACGGGGAGACCCCAGCACTGACGGGGCCTCGTACTTGGGGACAGGCACTAGATTTGAAATCTGAGGACCAGGATTCAAATCCTGCCTCAGCCACTTACTCTCTGGGCAGCCTGGGCCTCCGCTCCCTCTAGAAAATGAGGCGGGGTGCGCTCAATGGCCTCTGAGGTCCCCCAGCCCTGTCTCTGCTATCCTCTGACCCGAGGTCCCCACACCTCTCTGGGCCTCATTTTCTCCACCTTTGCAATGGGAGGGTGCAGATCCAGGCTCCTGTGTTGCTATAGAGATAGCAGCTTGTGGTCTCTCCGGGACACGCAGGGGCAGCCCCGTCTACCGGGTTCTGCCAGGGGGCTCCAGAGGCACTGCGGATGGACAGCTGCCGCGGTCCACTGGGCAGGCGGGGAGGAGATGCCGTGCCGCCACCGCACCTCTTGTCCTGCCCATTGGCAGCAGCTCTCTGCCCCTCCCCAAAGAATCCACTGCCCATCAGTCACCTGTCATGGCAGACATCCCTGCTGGCTACTTTCAGAAAGAGCCGAGCCGGCAGCAGGGATGCACGGCTCTCTGGGGAGCCTACCTGAGCACAGGCCAGGAGTAGATGGGCACAAGGAAGGGCCTGCCACCGGCCACCCCCCTAGCTTGGCATGACCAGATCAGCAGCTAACAGATGATTGTTCCCTGACAAACCATGGAGAATGGCCTCTCAGCCCCAGCTTTCTCTCACGCTGCTCCTTGCAGGGATTAGTGCCTTCCTGGGGCTGAAAAGGGAAAAATGAATGGGTTAGCTAGGGACTATGGACGGGGAAAGGTAAAATGTCCTGAGTGTGCCAAATCATCTTTAAAATGGAGGTTTCTTAAAGCGAGGCAAGAAGGCCTTGGGAAAGATGAGTTCTCGGCTCCATTTTGCCACTGCCCGACTGTGTCACCTTGGGCAGGTCACCTCCCTGGACTGCAGCGTCCTCCTCTGTCAAAGGACGGACAGTAATGGCTGACGTTGAGAGCGCATGCTAGGGAATTCCTGACACAGAACCTCCCGAGCACCCTGCGGGCCAGCTCTGTCTGTCAAAAGAGGGGATTGGCCTTGGAGGCTTCCCAGGTCCTCTGCACTGGAAGCCGGGAGTCTTCTATGGGCACGACTGTCCCATCTGCTCATGGACTGGTCAGTCGAAAGTTCACAGAGCTGGGGGAGACCCTCAAGGCCACTGGTTCAAAACCCCCACCCCCATTTCATAGGTGAAGACACCAAGCCTAGGAGGGGGAAGTGACTCACCCAGGGTCACCCAGGGAAGCAAGTAGAAGAACTGAGATTTGAACACAGGGCATAGGATGTTGGGCTTAGCTCTGGAAGGGATCTCAGAGGGCTCCCATTTTACACATGGGGAAACTGAGGCCCGGGGAGATGACGCAGTTCGTCCAAGGTCACATAGGGAGCCCGTGGCAGAGCCGGAATTCAAACCCAGATGTCTCTGACTCCAGACCCCCTGCTCCCTGCCCCCTGCCCCAGGCTTCTCCCTGTAGTCTGGGCACCCAAAGGAGAAAACCCTTGGAGCCCTGAGGCTCTTAAAGAAAAAGCAGGGATCTGGGGGTCTGCCCTCCCTGGGGGGTGGGGGAGTCAATCACAAGTCCACAGGGGGCTTGGCTGGATTAGCTGAAGTCTTTCAGTGGGAAAAGGATGGGTTTGGAGGCTGGCTAGGTGTGCCCTGCTGCCCCCTGCTGGACAGACTCCACCATACCTGGAACTCTGGGTACCGTGGCTTTTTTTGAGCCAGAGATGGGTCAGTTTTAAGACTCCTTAAATAATTCCACAGACTCAGACCACAGGGGTACTTCAGAAGGTGACCAGCTCCTGGTGAGCTTCCCTGGAAAGGCAGCTGGGGCGAGAGCCCCAGAAGCCCTGGGTTCTAATCCCCGCTCATGCTACACGCCCTCCCTGGGACTTTGGGCTCTCCTTTCTGGACTTCAGGTTCCTTATTTTTCAATTAAAGAGGAAAGGAGAGTACAGAATGAACATGCAGAGTAGAAAGAGGTCCAGCCAAGCTCATACTCCAACATATCTCCTCCACAAAGACCTAGAAAACGCCCTAATCTGGTCCGGAAGAATGAACGGACAAACAAACCTCTCCTATAAGATCAAGGGGAAAGCAGGAATGACTGCCATCACCATTACTACTCAATATTTAATGCCAGATACACTAGATAACTCAATAAGACAAGAAAAAGAAATTAGAGAATAAGCAAAGAGGAAACAAAAGTATCACATGTTATGATGGTTTACTTAAAAATCCTGAAGAGTCAACCAAAAAAACTAATTAAAACACTAGAAAGCGCAGGGATAAATGGATATTCCTTCATGTAAGGAGCATTCAAGTGCGACTCGCTCTGGGGATTCTACAGCTTTTTAATAGCAGCTCATTAATTAAGAGCCGAAAGGGGCCTCAGATGCCATATAATTCAGCTCCTTCATTTTTACAGATGAAGAAATTGAGGCCCAAAAAGAGGAAATGATTTGCCTAAGGTCACACAGCTATTAAGTAGAAGGGCTTGGATTTGAAGCCAAATCCCAAGCTTCTAATTACAGCGCTCTTTCCATTATGTTATGGGACATTCACCTGCCTAGGGAGTTTAAACTTCGTTTAGTAATGACAATAGCTAACATTTATGTTGCACTTACCATGTGCCAGTTAGGTGGTACAGCAGATAGAGTGCCGGGCCTGGAGTCAGGAAGATCTGAGTACAAATCCAGCCTCAGGCACTTACTAAGCTGTGTGACCCTGGGCAAGTCACTTCCCCCTGTTTGCCTCAGTTTCCTCATCTGGAAAATGAGCCGGAGAAGGAAACGGTAGACCACTGCAGTATTTTTGCCAAGAAAACCCCAAATGGGGTCACAGAGTCAGATGCAACAGAAATGACTGAACAACAATAATAACTATGTGCAGCCACTGTGCTAAGTGCTTTACAATTATCGACCTATTTAATCCTCACAACAACCCTGGGACGGAGGTGCTGTTATTATCTCTGTTTTACAAATGAGAATGCTGAGGTGAAATGACTTGCCCAAGGTCACCAATCTAATAAGTGGCCAAGACCAGATTTGAACTCAGATCTTCCTGACTCCAGGCCCCAAACTCTATCCATTGTGCCACCAAGCTGCCTCAGTCAGCGGCAGGGGTCCGCTGGTTCAGTGAAAAGAACACTGGATCTGGAGACTGAGGGCCTGAGTTCAAACGTCTGCTCTCCTTACAGCCTAGAAGACAGGATGCTTTGCACTGCAGTTTCCTCATCTGGAGGCGAGGGTGTTGGCGTAAGGGACCTCTGAGATTCCTTTCGGTTCTGGAGCTACGGTTCTATGACTAAACAATTCTGCGAGATGACCCTGGGGGTCCTGGGTGCTCAGCATCTGTTTCTCTGCCGTGGAAATTCACATTTGCTAAGGATGCACAGCAGAAAGGCAGCACCTGAGAGAAACCCAGAAGCTTCCCTTCTCCTGCTTTGTAGGACGGCCAGCTGGACCCCACGCGAGGCATTCTCTCTGCTCTCAAAATCCCTGCAAAATCTCCCATCCTCGGCCTGCTCACCGCCACATCTGCCACACCCTCTCTGCTCATGGCTGCCTCCCAGAATCCTCCTCAACTCGGCTCGAGGAAGCCTTTCTGACGCCCCTGTCCCGGCCATCCCCCTCCTTAGACTTACCAGGATGCCTGCCTGTCCCCGAGCAGAGCGTCAGCCCCTCGAGAGCAGAGACATCTGGCTGTTCATCTTTGCCTCCCCAGCACCCGGGACAGGGCCCTGCACACGGCCTCAACGACCGGCATCTATCTGTATCCCTGCCCTGTTCCTGGGGCGCCAGGGCCGCGGCATCTACCGGGGCAGTTTTACATCAGAGGAAACAGAGGCTCAGCTACTTAGAGGGTCAGAGATTTAGAGCTGGAAGGGCCTCCAGAGGCCACTAAGTCCAGTCCTCTCATTTTACGGAAGAGGAAACTATGTGTCCAAGGTTACATAATGTCAGAGGCAGGACTGGAATCCAGGTCCTCCTGACTCCAGTGCCCTATCCACCGCCCCAGGCAGGGATTTGAACCCGTGCATGCTTAATACACATTTGAGGAGCTAAACTGGAGCGGACTTGAAATCAGTCCGGGGGGGCCTGGTGTCAGGCATGACTCATGACCAGGCTCTGGATTAGATTCCAGAGGCCACGCATCTGATGGTGACCTTAGCTCCCACAGAGAGGAGTGTGGCTGGTCATGCCAGTGTCTATCAGAGGCACGCCAGCCCGTGGGGCGGCCCCCCAGTATCCCCAGCTGCCCCTGCTCCAGCCCAGGAGGCCCTCGGGTTCCCCTTCCCTTGCCTCCCTGTGTCCCGGCTCCCCGGCCCAGAAGGGACGACGCAGAAGCGGGGGGAGACCTTCCCACTCAGAGCCGCTGTCCCAATTTACTAGTGATTGAAAGTGATTACTGCTGGAGAGTTGTTTGTTAGCCAACCTCCAGCGAGCGTTTGAGACGCAGTCAAATTTTCAGCAGCAGCAGCTGAAATGCTTTTGTTGCCAAACTGCGGCTTTGAGGATTCCTGTCTTCCTGACAGCCGGTCTCCTTCCTGCAGAGCCCAAGGACTCCACGGGTCACAGGGGCTAAGCCTGGCGCCGTAATAGGATAAATCTCTAGATCCAGTTCAGCAAACAGTTACTGGGCATCTGCTCTAGCTCCTATTTCTAGAGCCCTGTAGACATTGTTTCATGTGCTCCTCACAGCACCCCTGGGAGGTCAGAGCTACTATTAGCCCCACTTTAGAGATGAGGAAACCGAGGCAAACGGGGCTAAGTGACTCACCCAAGGTCTTGTTGTTCAGTCGTGTCTGACTCTTCATGACCCCATTTGTGGTTTTCTTGGCAGAGACACGAGTGGTTTGCCATTTCCTTCTCCAGCTCATTTTCCAGATGAGGAAACTGAGGCAAACAGGGTGAAGTGACTTGTCCAGGGTCACACAGGGCTAACTGTCTGAAACAGAATTCTCAATGACATTCTCCTGAATTCGGGCCTAGTGCTCTAGTCACTATATTAAGGTGCATCTGTGCTGCATTTGGCACTATGCTAGGCCCTGGGGATATGGCAATAGAGCTTTCATTCTCCTGGGGGTGAGCAGCATGGACGTGGCATGGCATAGTGGAGAGAGCAGATTCGGAATCAGGGGCAGTGGGTTCAAATCCCCAGCTCTCCTACCTTACTACCCATGTGACTTTACACAAGCCATTTCATGATCTGCAGCCTCAGTTTCCTCATCTATAAAAGGAGGGAGCTAGACCAGATGCCTTCTAAAGTCCTTTCCAGCTCTAAAATCTATGAACACACAAAGTCATTTAAGGATGGGAAGGGTGGTATAGATAACAAAGGGGATGAAGACAGGCCTTGTGCGTCGGAGGTAGTGAGGCCTTGAAGAGTGAGGAGGGATCCAAGAAGCAGCAGTGAGGGAGGGCATTCCTGGTTTGGCTCACAGCCCAGGCAAAGGTATAGAGAGGGGAGATGGCTTGTCTCATGCAGGGAGCAGTTTGGTGACTGGAGGATGTTGTCTACAGGGGAGAGCCATGTAAAATCAGTTTGGAAAACCAGGTCGGAGCCAGACTGTGGAGGGCTTTCCATTCCATTCCATGCAGAGGCTTCTGAATCTTCTAGAAGCAATAGGGAGCCAGAGTAGTTTATTGAGCAAAGGAGTAAGAGGGTCGAAGTTTTTAGAGTTGGAAAGGGGGCTCAGAGACCATCTAACCCCACCCTTTTCTTTTTACAGACGAGGCCCATGGGGAGCAGTGATTTGGCCAAGGCCGCACAGATAGCAAACCTGAGGAGCAGGACAACTGACTCCAAATTCAGCTCTTTCCCCTGACCCATCCTGCCTCTAAGTCTGCATTTAGGAATATCAATGTGGCAGCCTTAGGAGGAGTGGACTGGAGGCAGAGAGACTAATGAGAAGGCTATGCCACAGTTTAACCAAGAGGGGAGGGCCTCAGACACACGGAGTAAGGATGTGGGAGAAGACGATAATTCCGAGAATTTAGAAAGCACTTCTCTCTTAAAGTAGTTCACGTAAATGAGCTCACTTATCCCCAACAAAGGCCTCAATGGATTTAATAGAGTTCACTTATTAAGTGCCTACTGTATGCGCAGCACTGTGCCAGGTGCTGGGGTTCTGAGATAATGATGACGAAGCACGACCTGTGCTCAAGGAGCTTACATTCTCCAGGAGGATCCAGTATGTAAACAGACAAAACATTAGAAGGTAATCTGAGGAGAAGGAAAAGAGCAGTGACCGCCAAGGGGATGAGGGAAGACTCCCTGTACGGGGTGGTTCCTCAGCTGAGCCTTGAAGGAGAGTTGGATAGAGGGCAGCTATGGCTAGCCCCTTTTTAGAAATGGTAAGACCAAGATCTTAAGAGGAGAGTGGACTTTCCCAGACAATTTCAGGAACCTGACGAAGCTGAAATTAGTCCTTCCAACTCTCCACAAAGGTGCCTTTCTGTTCTCTAGACCATAAAAATGCTCGCTTTGATCCAGTTGCCATGGAAAAACCTCTACGAAATTTGTAGGACAATCTCGCCGTCCCCACCAGGCTGCCAGCCCCTCCCACTTCAAGTCTGAGGGGATGGCCGAGCCCTGGGTCATTATCAGAAGGAAACAGGCTTCACAGAAGATGTGGGTGGAAGGCCTGTCAAGGCCTCCAGAGGAAAAAAGAGATAAAGGGGAAATGGAGAGGCTGAGGAGGGCTCGCCTTCGTGGGCCCTTGTGGTCAACGGCCGCCTTTGGGAGCGCTCCTGGGATGCACGGGAACGTCCTCCCGAGGAGTCTAGGGCCTGAGCCAGAAACAGGCACCCTCCCTGGGCCGGGGTGGGGGCATTTCCCTCTCTGGAGTCACAGGAACGGTCAGATGGTGCTCTCTGTGGACTGGTCCAGGGGCCCCGAAGCCCACCAGCTGGGCAGCCAGCCCTTCTCAGGCAGAAAGGAGGAATAACAGAATTGTCTCTTCCCCCAGGCCAGGATGGAGGCCATTGCCAAGTTTGATTTCAACGCCTCCGGAGAGGACGAGCTAAGTTTTCACACGGGAGATGTCCTGAAGGTAAGAGACAGAACCCTAGGAAGCATGTATTTTTTTAGCTTATTGGAGGATAAACATTCCAAGTCATCAGCCCAGCACTGGATGCCTGGGTCCATTAGGAACCGCACCATTTTCCTCTAAGAATGAGTTTGCTGTATGAGGACTAGTCCAGCATGAGCAAAAATAACCCAGGGAGGCAGCTGAACTCTGATTCACTGCTGGTTGGGTCTCAGAGAACAGAGAATATAACTCCATCTTCCTCCTCCCCATAGAGGAGTGGAGGACTATGGGGATGGAATGTGGAATACACTGAAGGGTCCAGTCCCGGAGCCCTGGTCCCTCGGCTTTCCTTTACTCTTTACTTTATTAGGAAGAGGAGTTAGTTCTACTGTGAGGGGGTATGGAATATTTTGGGAAATGACTACAAAGTTTAAGAAATTAAAGGCATCAATAAAACATTTTAAAATCAGTCAAATGCAGGGCGGAGATTCAGAAAATAAGTAGACGAGGTGTGGCCCGATAAAGCCCACGTCTCCAGAGTCTGTTTTGGGGGATTTTTGCTTGAGCTCTAGAGTGGGGGGGGGAGGCGCTTTGTCGACTACTGGAGAAGGGAGCCCGTGGAGTTTTGAGGTAGCAGAGACCTTGGGGATTATCCGGTCCCAGCCTCATCTGCAGCCGAGGCAGAGAAAGGAAGCGACCTCCCCAAGGCCATCTGACTGGTGGGTGAGCCCAAACTCGGACCCAGGGCACCTTCAGCACTTCCAGGGTGACTTTATCAGTGTGGTCACAGCCCTTCCAGACTTCAGCACTTGCTATGGATGCTCAATAATTCATTAGCTGGTGGGCCTCTGTCTGGGCAGACAGCCATTCCAAGGCCTTGCCACGAGCAGCCTGCGGACGTCCCCTTCCCTCGATCTGGAACGTCTGGGCTGGTACATGGATACCAGCCCACGTGAGCTTGCTCTCTGCTGGCATTGGGCACCCCCCCAACCCCCAGCACGGTAGACGATGAGATGGGGGCTTCCCTTCCGGCATCCTTGCCCAATCATTCCCATGGTGCCACCGCTCTCCCTTGACCCCTTCCCCTGCTCTGCCAAGCCTCAGGCTCCAAGAGCTCTACAAGGCCTTTCCTACCCTCCCCAGAGACAGCTGTCACTCTGGGTCTACAGTCCAGAAGCCCCCCCCCCCAAAAAAAGAGAAAGGGCCTTGTCAGCATGAGCCTGAGGCATGGAGGAACCATCAGAGAAGGACGAGCAGCTGGGTGTCCCTCTGAGGTGGGAGTATTGGGCCTGGCGTCACAAAGACCTGAGTTCAAAACCTGCCTAGAACTCTTACAAGCTGTGTGACCCTGGGCAAGTCACTCCTCTCATCAAGCCTCAGTTTCCTCATCAGTGGAATGAGCATAAAAATACTTGTAGTATCCACCTCAAAAGGTCGTCATGAGATTCCAATGACAGAATGCACGGGAAGGGCTTCGCCAACCTGGAAACACCACACAAATGTCACTCATTGCTGGTGGGGCTGCTACTGCTGTCCATCCTGTGTTTCTGAACAGAACCAGTGACATCCCAGGGGATGCCTTGACTTGTTCGGGAGCTGGATTTAAGTGAGGCAGGGATCATTTGTATGATCACTATAGTGGGGGTGCGGGGAGTGGTGAGGAGCGTTATTCAACCACTCCCACTGCCCCCCCACCCCACTGCTGGTCACTGCCTGGTTGGGTTCCCAGCACAAACACTCTCGACCCTAGGAAACTACATCAAGGGATTTGTTATTATACCTCCCTCTCCCTCTCCCCTCCCCCTCCTCCTCCTCCTTTTCCCCTCTTCCTTCTCCTTCTCCTTCCTCTTCCTCTCTCGGCTTTGATAGTGATGCTAATTGGACAGAACATGTGAAAACAGTGCAGACTCCTCCAAGAGTGTGTGAAAAGCCTTAGAACAGCCAGCCCTGGGAGCACAAGAGTGAACGTGAGCGCCCCTGGCCATTGCGCCAGATTCTGCAAACCCTGCCTGGGCATGAGAGTATCCACAGTCATCATTTAATAAAACAGACTGGTCTGGGGAGTGTGGCGCAGTAGAGAGAACTGTGGAGAAAGATTTGGAGGCAGAAGATCTGGGTTCAAATTCCCCTCTGCAACTTACTACCTATGGGATCATGGCCAAGTCCGTAGACCCTTCTGGACCTCAGTTTCCTCATCCGTAAGATAAGAAGGTTGGACTTAATGGCCTCGAAGATCCCTTGCATCTCTGAATCTTTGAGCCCTTGAACCCATGGGAATCGATATAATCAGCAAAAGAGCACAGAGAGAGAAGAGAAGGAAGCCCAGGGTAGAGACGGATGTGCACATTGTGGTTTTTTCCCCCCCACACTTAATCTCAACACACTCCTTCCCCTCCTGCCTCAAGGCAGACCTACCAGGACTTTGAGAAGTTTGAACAGTGGAAAGAGCTATGTCTCTGGAGCCAGAGGAGCTGGGTTCAAATTCTGCCTCTGCACTTTCTATCTGTGACCTTGGGCAACTCACTTCCCTTCCCTGGGCCTCAGTTTCTCCACCCGGGAAATGAGTGGGTTCGACAGAATGATCTCTGAAATCCCTTCCCACTGAGTCCTTGGTCCTGGGTCTTCAGGAGTTCCCCAGTTCCACCCAGCCCTTCCACTGCCCATGATGCCTATCTCTTCCCACACTTTAGAAGGCAAGGGGCAAACATTAATTAAGCACCTGCTACATGCCAGGCACTTTGTTAAGCATAAATGGTATCTCACTTGATGCCAGAAGGCTGGCAGTTTCACAAAGATGAAAGCGCAGTAAACCTCAGTGGCTATGACGTCACTCGTTTACCCAGAACTCTCTGCTGGCACTCAGATAATGGGTGTGGAAGATAAGGAAGCCAAACCGATGGGGAGATGAGAACAGGAAACAGGAGGCCCCCCACCACAGCAATGGGAGGAAACCGCCACGCGCCATCCCCTCAGCCCAGGCACAGAAAGGGAGACGAAAATGAGCCTTCAGCGCGGCCTGCGTGGCCTGCCAACGAACCGGGCTGGAAACCCCGTCTCTCATCACTCAGGCTTCAAGGGACCGAGGCAGAGAAAAGGGACATGGGAGGAAACCTCAGAGCAAAGGTCCCGCAGAGGCCTCTGGCAGAGGGAAGGAGCATGACAGGATGTGGCAAGGGCTGGGGGCACCTTCCAAATTTGGCACCCTGGGGCAAAGACCCAGCTGCCTGCCCTGGTTACGGCTCCACATCCTCCTACCCACATAACACGAGACAAGTCTTTCCCTCCCCCTGGGCCTCAGCTTCCCTGTCTGTACAATGAGGAGGTCAGCCCACATCACCTCCAAGGTCCCTTCTCCCTGTAAATCCTGCGATCCAGACATGTCGTCCCTGTCTAAATTACTTTCTCTGTAATATCCTCACTTATCTACGCACAGAACATCGGCTGCCCGGACTGAACTCCCCAGGTCTGCACCCTGGGGAGGAAGGATTCTCCGAAGCGAGATGCTCCTACATCTTTGATGTGAGCACCAGCTCTCTGGGCTTGAATGCTGATTGCCTCTTACAGGTGCCCGAACACCCTCGCTGTAGGAGACCAGCCAAGGTGTTCAAGGCCCTGGGAAGCTCTTTCTTAACAATTTCTCAAGCTGTCAAAGACGGGACCCATTTTTATTCCCTCAATCCAATCTATTAAGTTCAAAGCTTCTGCACACAGCATTTTCAGAGAACTCCTGACCCCGTCCTTGCTTCTCTGAGCTGTGGTTTTCCACCGTCATCAGACCTCCCATTTGGAGAGTATTTTATAGCCAGGCATCATTTCCAGATACTTTCTCCAGGTTCGATCCTCAAAAACAGCCCAGAGAGGAAGGGGCATGGCTCATTTTTCAGATGAGAAAACACAGAGAGGTCCTAGTGACTAATAAGTCACTAATAGCAAGTGTGTCAACAAAGGTTTGCAAAGCATTCTACTTGTATTATCTCATTTCATCATCACAACAACCCTGGGAGATGGGTGCTTTGATTTTCCCCTTTTAACAGATGAGGAAACTGAGGCATAGGGAGAGGAAGTGATTTTCTCAATGTCACATAGCTAATAAAGATGAGTTCAAGATTTGAACCAGAGCTCTCTTTTTTTTACATTCGGTTTTCATTTTATTTTTTCTCACATGTAAACAAAACATTTTAACATTCAATTTTTTTAAATTTTGAATTCCAAATTTTCTCCCTCTCTCCACTTCCCCAAGGCAAACAACTTGATATAGATTATGCATGTGCAATCATGCAAAATATATTTCCATACTAGCCACGTTGCAAAAGAAAATGCAGACCAAAAAAACAAGAATAATGAAGAAAGTAAAACAATGTGTGCTTCGATCTGTATTCAGACTCCATCAGCTCATTCTGTGCAGGTGGATAACATTTTTCATCATAAGTCCTTTGTGACTGTCTTGATTCATTGTATTGTGAAGAATGGCTAAGTCATTCACAGCTGTTCATCATACAATATTGCAGATACTGTGTACAACGTTCTCCTGGTTCTGCTCGCTTCACTTTATGTCAGTTCATATAAGTCTTCCCAGGTTTTTCGGAGAGCATCCTGCTCATCAGAATTTTTTATATGGCAATAATATTTTATCGCAATCATATATCACAGCTTGTTCAGCCATTCCCCAATTGATGGGCATCCTTTCAATTTCCAATTCTTTGCCACCACAAAAAGAGTTGTTATAAGTATTTTTGTAAATGTGGGTCCTTTTCATTTTTCTTTGATCTTTTTGAGATACACACCTACTAGCGGTATCGCTGGATCAAAGGGTATGTACATTTTATAGCCTTTGGGCATAGTTTCAAATTTCTCTCCAGAATGATTGAATCAGTTCACAACTCCACAAACAGTGTATTAATGTCCCAATTTTCCCACGTCTCATTCAACATTTGCCATTTTTCTTTTTGGTCATATTAGCCAATGTGATCGGTGTGAAGTGTACCTTAGAGTTGTTTTAATTTGCACTTCTCTAATCAATA